ACCTTCTACTTTCGTTCCCCGCTCTACTATATCGGTTGGGACCGGGGTGCCAACCGCTCTCGTATTGTGCTCAGTGAAGGACGATATTTGGGGAGTTCTTCAGGCAATCGACACCGACAAGACATGCGCAGTGGAGCTGTTGGAGCTCCTTGAGTTTTATCGGTTGCAAACTGAGATTAAGATCCGCAGCATTTCAGCCGCTTCCATTGACGCGGTAGAAGCAACGACGATGTTCTTCGACCAGCAAGCTGGCTGCGTTCAGAACGTGTACAACGTGGTGAGTACATCGAATGCCAGCCATGTCGTTTGTCACTGGAGTTCGTAGGTGCTGGGTAATCAATCCATTCGAACGAATCGTCAGCTGCAGCTAGTGCTTAACTTGATTCGAAGCACCTGCTTCGACACGCAGGATAGCGCTAGCTTCCACGCCGTAGATCACGTCAGCTACACCATAAACGGCTTCTAGCTGTCTACCAAAGCCGTGACATTAGCCTGATCGTTGTAGAATTCTCACATTCGTTGCTGGGGTTAGCGGAATGAGACGATTCGAGCTGGAGCAATGCCGACGTCTCGAGTTAACACGAAAATTACTTGGACGCCTTTTCTAACTGCGCGACGCGTTGTGCCAAACGAGCGTTCGCCTCGACAACGTCGCCTTTCAACGCCGTGAGTTCCTTTTGGAGTTCGCCGTTGGACACGAGCAAGTCCTGACGGATTTGGTAAATGGCACCGGCTCCACCAACAGCGGCACCAACAAAGAATGCGGCGAATCGTTGGCCCAGCGACGAACCACTTTTCTTGGCAGGGGTGGAAGGCGCAGCAGGGGCATCGGTGGAGAAGCAGCGGCGGAAGACGCGAGTGGACGTGGTGCGCAACATGGTAACCAACTGACAGTGGGGGAGATGTGGGCCATGAGGATATCCGGATACGAACTATCAACTGTACCATAGAAATTCGGATAATGCAAGTCTACCAGAATAAATGAGAAAGCTTAATCATCCAAAATCGCCGAAATATGAATGAACTGTCTTTATGTCAAAAACACGCTTCCTAGTCTGGTCCTGAATAGTTTCCGCCTCAGTTTGACTTGATTAGATTATGGGACTATGATCAGAAACAAATTTGAATTGGTACTACTCGGGCCCAACGAAAGTGTCCACTCTTGTTTACTACCGGATTGGTAGATAATGAAAGCCGAGG